TCTTTAGACTACGTTCTCTATACAAAGTGTATTATAAAAAAAACTATATGAAACATCAATCAAAGGATAATTACATGCATTAAATGAGTTAACAATATTCCATAAGTTCTCTAGACAACTATCCTTATGCAAAGTGGACTAGTCAAAAAATGCATGAATCATCAATTGAAGGTTAATTGCATGCAAATTCACATTAAACTCATTCGCATTAGGAGGTTCTCTGCACTAGTGGATTACAGAAAAGAAAAAAAAAAGTACTGTGAAAACATCAACTGGAGGACAATTACATGCATTTATGCAACATGGTGACTAAATAAGTAAATTAGCATCCTTCTGTGAAATTAGTGTCTAGGGGAATAAGGCATCCATCTTACTTTGAAATCAGATACTAGGAGAAGAAACTTTTAAAGGACACCATGATCTTAGTCATTATATGTCGGTAAAAAAAATAGAATGAATCGGGAGGATTTTGCTGTTCTGTTAACAATGCTTCTCATGCACTCTTGCTATTTAAAGGCAAAGGATCAAACATGTCAATGCATTTATCCAGTTTGAACACTCAGGTGTTATAGTTTAGGGCACTCACACAGCTACAGGTATCTTGTTTAAAAGTTTGCTTAGAATTGGTCAAAATCCTCATTCACAGATAACATTACTTATGGATCATCAGTCTTGATTGCAATTAACATGTGGGTCCACATACAACAACAACAACAAATTTGAAAGGCTAATTGCTGTTGACTTGGGTTGAATTTGATTGAAGACATGCTGTGGGGCATTGACTTAATTGCAAACAACACTGCCGACCTGGGCTGACAAATGTAACACATGCCATGAAGTTGAAATGATACAGGGTAGCATAAGTTGTGAAAATGACTGATGCTCTGTAAGTAATATGTGTTGACAATGTAAATCTAGATGTGCAAATGAGCTTAATGGAAATGGATCCTTGCTTTTTTTCCATGAAAACTAATTTGATTGAACGAGTTCAACTGAGTTGTTGTTACACAGACAGATTTCCTGGCTTTAGATGATATCAAATTTCCTGGTATATTTTCACGTCTTCATAAATCAATGCAAATGGTTACATAAATGTCAATACTGTAAATGAATTGTCATCCAGTTTTTTTTTTTTTTTTTTGTATTTTTGTTTAGATGAAAAAACTGTACGAGATTGATTGACTCTACAGGTATTGTGCTGAATACAATTATCTTTTCTTTACTAGATCAAAAAAATCTTCCTATCTGACAAAATGTTCTAAGACTAATCAAATAAATTGTATTGCCTTGCCTTCATTGCAATTCATTAAGTTGGAAATTATTATCAAAATTGATTGCCCGGGGATTTGGAGGGAATATCATTTTCGAACTCTTCCAAATACAATGTTAATTGTCAAGTTATTTGCATTTAGGATACTGTGACATTTCTGACATGTGTCTAATTATTTTACAGTGACGGCACATCAGCAGACAAAAACGTCAAAGTTTATTTTCCAGGTAACACTAAACATTCTGAATTTCAGTCCAATGTCCTGGTTCCTGTCAAATAAAGACCTAGCTGTTTCACAAAAGTCTGGAGTTTGTGGGCTAAGCTGAGACTGCTAAAATTTGATAGCCAATAATACAAAGTCGGTTTTGTGACATTGGTCATGCTCCAAAATTATAATTTTAAATGGTTAGCTCAAAATAAATATATTTGTCCTGCCTCTAGCCTATGCCTGGGCAATACATTATTGTGCCATCAGCGCTGAAAATAAATACCTCGATCAAGACATTCTGTCACAATGTGTTTGAGGAGTCACTGTGTAAGAGACCAAAAAAGAGATAAGCATCATTAAGATTCTTTCTGAAATGCAATTTTGTTGGTAAATTTTAAGTAAGCTAAGATTTTAGCCCAAAAAATGACTGAAGATTTTTTGAGAAATAGGTCCCAACTGCAGGTGCTAGTGGCCAATTCAGTTTGACAGGTGACAGGTCTAGAACTCTTAGATTGTGAAAGTAGAGTTTTAAGATATTGCACTAAGTGTGAAATAGGAAAGACATGTACATGTTGTCTTACAGGAAGTATGAGCACCAATCAGAAACTTCACAGGTTAGAAATAAGACCCTGAAAATACATATATACTGTAGCTGGTCAGGGCCCTGTAACTCATAAGCATTGCGATCGAGCGCAAACATCTCAATTCCATAACTCGCCCATACTTACCCCATATTTCGAGTTACAGAGCCCAGGTCTGTAGGCAGATCTAGAAGGAGAGAGGGGGAAGGGGGAAAGGAACAAACTTCTTCTGGCTGGAAAAAAATCTGCTCTGAACAAATATTTGATTTAGGCACTGTATGCCATTTCTAAAGTTAGGTCAGCTAAGAGGGGAAAAGGGTCGACATATACTCAGAAAAAGACCCCCAGCCTCCTTTTGAAATTGTAGCCTATAGGCTTGCATGAAAAATAAAATCAATCTATATCTAGGATTATACTGTACCAAAATTGGGACAAATGTGCAAGTAGAACATATGGATGTTATTGCTTAGGAGCAAATTATTTTACTTGAATATAATAAGCTTTTCATGATAAAAATGGGAGGACTGTCATCCTCTATGATTAGTTTTCAAAATTAGTGCAAGTTATATTAACAGAGCAGTATGATTTAAGTGGGACTAAGGAAAAAATTAAGAATCAAAACTGGATAAAATATATAGGATGGCAATCTTTATTGTAAAAGTACTTCTGATCAAATAGTGATCGTCTAGATTGAAGCCATAATTAATTTTCAAACTTGGCAAATTCATTATTGAGATCCTCTCATATAGTTTCAATTTCCTGTGACATTTCAAGTCATAACAAAGTAAAGATCTATACCATATCGTCATCCTGTGCCATAATTCTCTAACTCGCAAAACAGCTCCATTTCCCGGAGGAAAAATTGATTTTTCTTCAGACAAGTCATTCTGTTTTGCCGTCTGACTACATCCCCCATTGTTAATAGTGGTTTTCTATACAGGATCTTTTCCTTTGAAAAAAGTCTGCAAAATTCAAATGAGGCCATTACTACAATGATGATACTTCAGGTTTTTCAATGACATTTTGAAAAGTCTTCCCTTCATCGATAAAATTGGTTTTCCTTCTGAAAAATTTATTTCCGGTTTTGTTGTATGACAATTATGATTTAAGCATACAATTCGACTGTTGATGCCATGTCTCAGAATATGTTTGCTTCACAGTCACTTTGTTTTCATATTTTTTGAGGGTCATATACCAGTACTTTGACAATTTCAACAGGGGTGATTAACAGGTGAAAATGTAGTTATCAAAAGAGCTGTGACTTATTGGCCCTTTTCACTTACAGAAGTACACTTAAAGAATTGTATTAAAAAGTCAAATTAAAATTGATCCAGTTCAGACCACTGCTCTTTAAGAGGTTGACTACTTAATTTCAATAGCTAGTGTGCCAATTTTACTTTAAAAAGGATCCTATGTGGAGCCTCATATTCGACATGGCCAATTAATAAACTTAATTAGGGCAGCAAGACATAGTGAACTAGAGCAGTAAAACAATCGTGTTGCTAAGTATATGCAGTCATGTTAATGCACTGTATATATACTGCTAGATGTAAAATGGGCCTTAATTTTTTACTATGATTATTGTAATTTTTTATCTGACATGTTTTTTCTGATAACATGTATGTACTCATTATACCTATCTTCTTGTATAGTATAGACCATGTTTTGATTTTGGCTCTTTTTGTGAAACTGAATCCATAAAATAAAAATTGGACAATGATTTGTACATGAAGGTAGGCAGAGCTGTCCTAGCTGCGATCTGTTTTCGTCTAGAAGTAAAGCCATTCTGGAAGATGTACACTGGCCTAAAAAAGGCTTGTAATGATGACCGACACACACACACACCCATTGGCATGGTAAAGAGACATAAGTCAGTCCATTTGTTAACCAGATTACAGATTAAACCCTTGCCAATAATCATAGAAAAAGAATGAAAGTAAAAGGCTATTGCTTCTGGCTTTTTTTTGTCTAGATGTTGGCTATTACATGAAGTCATTTGGTATATCTGGGAGCTTTTGTGAAGACTATAAACCATCCTTTGGGGAGCAATTATGGGCAAGAGATTGAAGCGTTAATGTTTGATTTTTTTTTCATCGCCGTCTGTTTGATTTGTCCGAGAAGAATGCTTGGTCTGCTAAAGCTGAAATAGGCTTATTTATTTATTTATTTATTTATTTATTTATTTACAGAGCCCTTCATTCATAAATAATGATAAACAGGAGAATTTTGAAAAGTGCAAATTCTCTACAAATTCTTATAATTAAAATCAGCTACAATGCAGTCATAATTAAGATAATCCAATCCTGTTTGACGAATGTGGAATTAAATTTCTAAACAACTGAATTTGGACAGTTGGTTCTTGTGTACTTAACTTCTTAGCCTTCCCATGTCCTAGCATCAGGGCATTGAAGCTAGTATTTACCAGAGTTGAATTATGACTGTAATTAAATTGATAATCCTATCAATCAGTTGATAATCAATGTCATTTTATTAGGATAGGTAAAGCATAGTGTACTTTGCTAAATGGGGTGAATAGATATTAGGAGCTTAGGGGTCTCTGTAAGTGCAATTTGTACCTAGTTAGATAAAAAAAGTCAATGGTTTAGGGATGGAACTAAGACTGGTGGTGAAACAAAAATTAATTTAATATTTGAATTTTATTTTGTAATTTAAGTAATAATAATTCATTAGAAAATATGACCAAGAGGTTAAAGTTCTACATTTTGTAGTATCAAAACAATGGAATAATGAAAATCTTGAAAAGAATTATGCAATAATTATACTTGAGTTTAATAAATTATGCTTATATGTGATTTTAAAAGGGCAGTTATTTGTGGTAATCTCTTTTAACATTACCCATGAAAACATAAAATTATATCTTTGAAAAAAGCTGACTGAGTAAAATACATGTAATCAAGTAATAATTTTTTTTTCATTTCAGTTCAGACAAGTGACCCACTGTTTCAGTGTGATTTTGGGCTGAGGTTGAATGTCACAGTGAAGACCCAGAATTGTGTCAAAACAGGTAGGCTGAGAGAGAGAGAGAGAGAGAGAGAGAGAGAGAGAGAGAGAGAGAGAGAGAGAAAAGAAAATAGAGAGAGACTTTCCAGGCCTGTAGCCAGGGGGGGTTCGGGGGGTTCAAAAGAACCACCCTTTTTGCTGGGAGAAGGTCCACTCTGGGTAAAATTTGATATAGGTACATGAAGTTTTTATGGAAAAAGGTCCACTTTTTCAGAAAAAGAACCCCCCTTTTGAAATTGCTGGCTACGGGCCTGCTTTCCTAATCAGTTACTTTTAGTGGAGGGAGAGGAAGGGAAATATACCATATAGTCGAGCAGAAGGATGGAAACACAGAGGCAGGCAGGTGTATATACATATAAACAGACAGACAGACATATTGAAAAGCAGACAGTCAAAATTTAAAAAAATTAATTTCTTAATTCAAAAATCTTGAGAAAGGAACATTAAAGAAGAAAATCACAGAATATAACTGCATGTGTAAGGTGGAAATAGAATGTCTAGGACTTTTGGAGAGATAGAATTGGATTGTTCTGAAATACGTGCTTCATATGAAACATCTCTCTTCAAACTGTTTATAAAATGACATATTGACAGCAAGCACATGCTTCTCCCTAGAAACAAGAGTCTGACTCCATCTGCCTATATTATAGGGATATTACCATTTGTTCGTGTATTTGAAGTGCTTGTAAAAGCTGCAGTGCTCATGGGTATAATAATAATTGCATTGGTGAATACTAAAGCCTATTGGGATCATATTGTTAGGGATGTAGTTACTATAAATTAATTGCTTCATCATGGTAATGTGTTTCTGGCTTTGAAAGTCTAGCAATAGGAGGCATGAAGAATAATTTTGGGATTGGGACTCTATATACAGTATATAGAAAAACAATCTGTGAGAAATCACACCTAAATTCTTAGATAAGATTTTATTCCGAGGTAGTAAAGGCCATTGATTAACTCCCTGCCTCTCTCTCCCCCCCCCCCCCCTCCCAAACATACAGTGCCCCTTAATTTTTCAAATTTTTAGAATTTCATGATTAAATCATTTTGGGACTTGGGTTTTCTTTCTCTGTCTGTCTCTCTCTCTCTCTGATGCACACACATTTTTTTCCCAGCGGAATTGTAGGTCCACCCCATGCTACTGAAGGGAAGAAAAAAATCATGGAGTCAAGAGGATTGTCATCATGAATGCCACATAAACATTGCACCATTGTTTAAGAATGTAAATTGCAGCAGGGATAGGATAGTGATTTGACTCTTACTTATAGTCATCTTTTCTCCTTCTTTGGCAGTCTGGATTTGCCAGTAGCTACATGTAGATTGCAAAGCTAAGTCACAAAGCCAAAACAGGTTCACAAAGCCAAGGCAGAGTTTCCAGTAGAGATTTTTAAAAAAGTAACCCCAGAAATAGAGTTCTAATTAGTAAGTTGTGGTTGCCATTAAATTCACTGCCTTTACGTTGTTTGTTTCAAAATTGGGTTATTGGGGTCCATTATTGTTTGGCACTTCTTCCCAGCACCATTATTGTGTTATTTTGGCAAGAGGTTTCCACGTGTTCATTATATGAAGGCATCGCTCCAAATTCCCTGTTTGTTCGACACTTTTTCACTGCATTTAATTTAGTTCACATCCAATGTGGTTACTACATTGCAGATGTGAACAAAGATTAATAATATTACCCAAAAGTCACCTGTGAGACACACTTGCCCTGATCCTTTTTAGAGTTCATGGACTTTTTTCAAATGAAAAGTTTTAGTTGGTGGCAGTATTCCAAGATGGTGATAAAAAAAAGCGCTGATGAAAACACTCTGAAAATACTGAAAATGCAAACAGTGCATTTTAGTCACTTTTTACTATTTTGGGAAAATTGGTCTTGTGAAAAGGTTAATGTCTTTTCATTTAGAAGTATGAGAAGCACTGGTAGACTACAGATTCAAATTGATTTTATAACTGCCTGTAATTGTCAATTTAGTATTTGTATATATTCAATATAGAAACCTTTAATTCAATTCTTGATTACTACATCAAGAAATACATTCAATCAGGGCTGATCTGCCCTTACCATGAGTTTGGTTCCACTGCCAGCTAAGAATGATCTTGTTTACCTACATAACCTTTTGGCCTTCAGTTTGTGAGTCTAAAATGGCTAACAGTCTTGCAAAAAAATGAGAAGTCGACCACATTGCCTGTTTTGTAATTTTGTTGCAACCACTCAAGACAGTATGGATTATAAGAATGATCTAATTTTAAGATTAAATAATGACTTAAAATACAGTATCTGTAAAGTTCACAATTTTCACTCCACTGAATAGATCCAGTAATTACCGTACTTCCAGATCTCTACAATAAAGTTCTGACTGATTAAATGTCATACTGGAACTGAGTAATGTTGCATGATCAGGATGGTGTGGCTATCTCTGGGGTCCTCTGGTTCAAGAGTTGGCTTTATACCAGAGGGCAAAACTGAGATCGGTGACAAATAAATGCAAGCGAGGGTTCTTAATTTTGTTGGCAGACTTTGAACAGTCATGCACTTTGTACTATACTGTTTTTTTTTCAATCTGTATTACGTTATTCATAGTGCAACTGGAAATGAAAAAGACGTGTTGTTTTTGAAAATTATTTCTGTGCTCCATTAAGTTGAGAAAATGGTCTTATGATTCCCTTGTGGATTAAAAACTGAGAGTGTATCACACAAGTGGTAAACCATTGCTTTATATCATCACAGTTATACAGTACATCTCCATTTTTTTATTCCTAATTCTGATTATAGAGCCATTGCATTAAATGTCATTTTGCTATTTTATTTGTTGATTAGGCTGATTTGCTTGTGCTGACTCATATTTTTGGACAAAGATTGTTGTTGCACGTTGCTTAACGTTAGAACTTTATACTGCTAGGTATGTGTGTCTGTGTGTACGTGTGTGTGCATGTATGTGTACATGTGTACGTAAGACCCCATTTCCAGAGATTAGATCGATCTACTTTATATCGACCTAACTCCCTGGGGGTTCACGCTAAATAGCCGTCAGCCAGGCGGACACGAAAGTTAATTACCCCCTTACAGCTTGTAGTAGGCGGGACGGACATTTAAGCCGGATTATCTGACAGTAATCTAGTGAGACTCCCCGCGGGGATAGATCGATCTAAAAGCTCTGGGAATACAACCTATGTGTACATGTGTGTATATATAATATGGTGGTGTGTACATGTGCGTATGTATAAAATGGTTGCGTGTAAACGTGTGTTATATATGTGTTTATTGTTTGTGTGCATGTACAGGTATTTATGAGTGTATGCATGTAACATACATGTACACATGCACATGATCCATGCTTTTGTCTAGTAGGTACTAGTACAGTAACAAATGGTTGACTCTGAGTATGGAAAATCATGCAAAATATGTTGTGCATGTATAACATTGATGTCAAATAGAGGTGTATGGTCATACAAGCACTCATGTTTGAAACACAGGAACAAATTAAATATCATGGTTTGATCATTGGCGGATAACTGTTGCACGTTCAATTTGCAAAAAAGCTTACAGCTTTTGGTGTAATATGAATTAGGTACAATTTAATCTTCTTTGATCTTTTCAAGAGTATACCAGAAGCAATTCATGTAGCTATCTTTCATCCTCAAGTGTAGCCTCTAAGGATTTCTTTGCTATTAACTTTACATTACTGTATTTTCTAGGAACATTTGCAGGGAATTACACAAGAGAATTATAGGATGTGTGTGACCAGCCATGCAGAGAGAGATCTAGGGATAGATGTGTTTTCTTTCCTTTTTTGAATTTTTTTTTCAGGGAATGGTGGGCAGAGAGGATACAAATGAAACACAATTAAAGGATATATATATATATTGGAAAGTTGGAAAGGGAATGCAGATAAATGGTTTGCAACTTGAGATAATCAGTATTTTTGTATGTGTTCCATTTAATTTTTTCATGAAATGAAATTTGGTTACATACTTTTTGGAACAGAAGCTTCATGTGGCTGTACATGTCATGGAAAATTATATTTTCCTGCAGGTGTAATCAAATCCAATCTTTCACCCTCCTTCTCGAGTTTTTTTTCTCTGTGTGTGTGTGCGTGTGTTGGGGTGTGGGGGGAGGGGAGAGGAGGTAGTGGGAAGGGTGAGGCACTCATTAAATCATTACCTGTTGAACCCTCTAGAGAAAGCAGTGTGAATAATGATGATGAAATAAAGTGTGTGAGATGATCCCCCCAGGTATTACAAGATGTAACTGCATCCATCACTATAAATATTTCATAATCCTAATTTCTTATTTTATTCCCAGGGTGACCACATTTGCTACTTCTTATCTATGACTGTGACAGTGATAGCAATTACCCTCTTTCTTTTGTCCTCAGGCGCGGTATCAATGTAGGTGTTGCCACGGTTTCTCGGGGGATTTCTGCGATGATCTAGACGCATGTGTCAGTAACCTGTGCCAAAACAATGCCACCTGCGAAGATCTTCATAATGATCCAACGGGGACTCATTTTCGGTGCAGTTGCCCTAAAGGTATCCTGTAAAGAAATTCTTAGTTTTCCCCTTAGAAATAAGCATCCTCATTAGTAATGTGTCTAGCAAGCTCTTGCCAAACAGTTAATGAAAGTGTTTCGACTCCACCTGCTTTGGTTGTTTCACCTTCTCTTTTAGCCAGGACATGGTTAGGCTAGTTCTTTAAACATTTTTTGATCTGGGATAAGATTAGAATTAGTTTTCATGAGAGGATAAAATCCTATGAGATTGAAGCAAGGTCATCTGATCTATTGCCCAATTAAAAATATATATTTTGTTACTTAGTGTAAAACTTATGTTTCAAACTGGTTAGAACATTATCATGTTTCATATTTTTTCTAGGGTATATTGGAGATTTATGTGAACATAAGTTAGAAAATCCTTGTGACAGTTCACCATGTGCTAACAATGGCTCATGCACTCCAAATGAGCTTAATTATGCATGTGCATGCATGCCAGGATACAGCGGGGACCATTGTGAGGTGGAGATTAATGAGTGCGACAGCAGTCCTTGCAAGCACGGAATATGTGTGAAAGAAATTGGAGGATACCAGTGCTTTTGTATTCCAGGTACCTTTTGTTTTGTAGCAAAATACAAATATTTCAACAAATTGTAAAGAAAATTGTATAGAAAATTAATTAATAATTCTATTTTTAGCTAAAGAAAATCATCTTAGTATTTGGCAACACTTTGAACTCATAGAGTTACCAAAAAAGATACATTCTGTAAAATGGTTAGAAGATTATAAATTAATAAGTGTTATTTCATATATGTATTCAATATTTCAGGTCATGGTGGGAAACACTGTGACATCGAGTACAACGAGTGCCAGTCCAACCCATGTAAGAACTCGGGGTTCTGTGTAGACAAGGTCAACGACTTTGAGTGCGAGTGTGGGCCAGGATACAGGGGCAAGGATTGTTCTGAGAAGGTGATAGTCTGATCTCTCTCTTTCTTTCTCTCTCTCTCTCTCTCCATGGCCAGTTGATAATGATGTAAAAGAAAATATAGCCAAGGGAAATTGAGCTGAGTTTTATCAATTTTCTAAACACTCTCTCTCTCATAACATACCTCATATGAAGTGAGTAAAATTCCACTATAACCTCAGCATCTTATTTAATTGTATTACCATCAACAGGGTGTGCATGTACACTGCAATTTTAATTTGACACCAACAAGTTAAAGCCTTGTGACATTTGTACCATTTCTCCTGATAAACAGCAAAATCCTGTCACATTACGGTGTTACAGTTTGTGATGTTAAAATTGGCCCCATGCCATATGTTTCTAGATCAGGGTACGATGTATTGCTTAGACGTATTAAGTCACACAATACATGACGGTCAAAATCAGTAAAATGCTGATTTTCTTTTCTGTACAGGTGGACCTGTGTTCCCCCAACCCTTGCCAAAAGGGATCCATGTGTTTTGATCATGGAAATTATTTCAGCTGTAAATGTCATGCAGGATTTGCAGGTACTTAATATACTTATTTTTTTGTTTGTTTTGGTTAATTTTACTTGTTATTTTTCATACCAAAATTTTTATAATCTGTAATAGGATGTAACTGAGTTTGTGCATAAGTTCCCAGATGTGTTCACATGATATCTTATTTTTATTTTATAAAAAATCATATGCAGATATTAAGAATAAGTTGAGTATAAATCTACTATGTATTACATTCATTACGTAGTTTACATGTAATATAGACTGATATGCCTTTTTCCCTGCATTCAGTTCTATGAAGATTGGTATTTAAGATTGTTATCAGTGGTAAAAAATATGAGACTCAGCTAAGATGTAGTCATCTAACCTGTAATGAATCTGTCAATCCAGTTGAATACTAATCAATTTTAATCCAATATTGGCGTCTCAACATTGAAGATATGGTGATAATAATAGCACCAGTTTACAGGGGACAATCAATAGGGACATGTTTTTAATCAATCTAGAAAAAAACGTCATTTCAGCTATTGCGATTATATCCCATATGAATTTGTGATTGAGTAAAGCATGAAGTCTTTGGCATATTTTTCTGGGGCTCAGCTAGAGTGCATTTTATTTTTTGGTGCAAGTTAAGTCATACTGTTCAGATACAAGAAAAATTACATTGAAATGAGATGGCAGTACTTTTAGCACAAGGTTTGTATTCAGGATTTGGATGAAAGTGTGCATATCATGCCACCAGATATGGGCAGAAGATAGGTGGATTTGGTATAATTGCCGCTGCCCCTGTTAGCTTGTCTGCCTACAGCATATCCAAAATCTTTTGATCGTCTGCTTGTCAGGTTTCATGAACTATTATGTACTTGACGGTTTTCATCAATTTTTGCCCACGCATTCCTGTAAGAGCAGAGCGAAGATATGAGTTGTAAAAATGCAGAAAAGAAGTGACAGAAAATCTTTCAATTATCCACTCTTGCAGAAAGTTGAGATTTCTTAATATGTATTATTGATGAGAACAATGACATCATTCTAGCCATGCAGTGGTTTTCTCAGCCCAGAAAATGCCAAACTTATTTTCATTCAGTGATATTTTTAGAAAATGACAGTGAAAAGATATGGGGCTGTTCTCATATAATAATTGAAAATAAGTGAACTGTCACTAAGATATTAATAAAGGGGCATTTAAAACTTTTTCAGAAATGGAAGCATTTACCCTGTCTCATGCATGATTTTTTTTCTTTTTAAATAAAAAAGCCCCTGGAAAATTAAAAAGAGTGCATCTTCCTCCCCCCCTCCTCCTAACCCATTAACCTTGAATTGTATTTGAATCAAAACATTTGTGATTTCATGTCATTAATGTATGCTATAGATGGCTGTGAGTATTGGAAACTTGATGCAATTCGTAAACTAAAATGTTCAGACAGTTAAAGATTAAGAGACATGACCTGTAAGATGGAGGGTCTCGAAGGGTTGAAATACATAACATAGCCTTAAATATTTCAACATTCATTGTGATTGAAGATTTTTAAAAATGCACAATGATACTCAACCATGTTCAACATTTTATGATTTCAGGCCACCAGTGTGAGATTGACATCAATGAATGTGACTCGTCACCCTGTAAAAATGGCGGCAAATGTCATGATAAAGTGAATGGCTTCTTCTGTGACTGCCCTGCAGGCTATGTTGGTACACGGTGCCAAACCAAAGGTAACAATTAACATCTTTTCTTTATTATTATTATTATGATCATTATATCTTGTAATGAACTGATGTTTTTTATACAAATCACTGATGAAGATTTGTTTCCTAATCTAGTATCCTACAATTTTACAGAAAACTCACAAGACAAACCGCTGTCTGATGTCACTCACTCAAGTCATTCCTCCCGCAGTGTGGAGCATGTGCACTCCACCAACCTGTACATTATAGTGGGAACCTCCAGCGGTACCATGCTGATGGTGCTCCTGGTCCTGGCAGGGTGCTACTGCCACACACACTGGCCTGAGAGGAACTTCTGGCCCAGAAAATACAGTGAATATCAAAGGTATGTCTTAGTAATTATTCCAGTAAGAAAAATCATGTCCTTTTTTTATTTTTACAGAAAAAAATAGCCAAAGATTGCTTTAAACTCAGGCCGCAGAAGATCTGTTAGTCTGCAGATCAGCTTTGGTTGTGAATGCTTTAGTCCAGTTAAGTGAAATTTTGTACCCGCTTAAAAACAGGAATGGCATTTCTTATGTTTTAGAGGAAATTGCTTACTTACGAGTACAAGAATATGACTTTTATAAGGATTCTTCATTGATTTGTTTAATTTCAGTGTTGGAGACAAGACCAGTCAAGATCTCAGCAGTATTCTCACCCCTGGACCTTCCCATGATGCCATTTATGAAGCCAATGCATTGGACTACTCAGATAGTACGCTAAATTCACCGATTGCCAACTCTCTCAAACCAAAGAGAGTTTAGATGAAGATATTCAGTATATTCAGAGATGTGGCGCACAGGTGGCTTTTGCCCCTCTCTATCCCCTCTTTAAGCTTCTCTGAAAATGCCATTTACAATGCTACAGAACTACATGGAACTTATTGTTTTGGAATATATTTTTGCTGTCCCCTCTCCTTCTTTCTCTCGATACTTGTTAAATTGATTTGCTTTTGATGTACTGTACTGGATAGATATTTTATAAACTTTTGTTGATTTTTTTAAAATTATTATTTTTAGTGCTTAAATGGAAAGGGGTTTTATGTGACTGTATAGATTTACTTGATTTAAATTACACAGGTCACTGTTTAATTATGTAAACTGGACTTAAGCCTGTATGTATTAGTATGGAAGAAGTCTATAAATTGCAGTTATACAAAATATTATTTAATTATATGAGAACAATATCACAGTTATACAACCTGACATTTTTTCTAGAAAACTTGCATATTACTTGGTGATATTTTTTCCTCTTTTTTCAAGCTGTCTGTTGCTTTTTCTGATACTTAAACAAAATTAATTTTTTATGACAGAATAACTTGAATTTTTCAACTGTACACAAGGGTTATGTTGCTTTTTATGTATATATACTGAATAATAGTGAAAATGTGATAAAATGGAAGATGGTAATAGCAATGGCAGCAGAAAAAGATCAGTTTCATAGGTGGCTGGAATCAGTTTCTTATATAATATAGGATGTATAGTTAACTTGTTGAATATATAACAGTTTCCAAAAGACAAACCCATGGGTGTAAAAAGTGAAATCAATGAAGTCCATAATTACAGATGATGACGGTCAGTATTTTGTCCAAAAGAGGGCACCAGTGGTCAAAGCAGGTTTTGGCTTCTTCGGTTAATATATACATATAACCAGTTAGGTGTTAATAGATATTTTGTTTAAAAGAGGGCACCACCTGTTCACTGAAGTATTATTGAATATCTTAGCTGAAAAGGGGCATCTCATGTTTAATTTTTGTCCATTTTGACAAGTTTTCAATATCATATGAAGTTAGTTAAAATACTTACATAATAGTGATGTAATTATTTTTCAAATAAAATATTTTTGTTGAAATCTTTCCTTAATTTAATTTTTTGAACATTTCGGTATATTTTTCTTAAAGATATATAATGCCAATGTTTTCTTTAAATTTAATATGTTATGGTCTTATTTCTTTCCGTCCTGGGTAACATATAAAGTTTTGCTTTATTTTGACATTATGATATTAATATATAGTTATACTCTGGAGATGCTTGAAAAGTTCTCACATGAATCTCGCAGTTATAATAAATGCTTAAATGACACGTTAGCTGTAGCATGGAATTTTGGTAGTTTTTTTTTTTATCAAAGCATCATCATGAAATTGTACAACTAGTAATTTACAATATTATAGTCTCATAGTTATAATTATCTTAGCTTGATATGAGAGTAAAGTGGTACAAAAGAAATCAAAAAGTATTAATGAAAAGCATTCATTTATTTTAATATATCATCAAAATGATATGATAAGTTCTTATGTTGGATCCTGTTATTAACACATAATATATAATCATGGCAGTGGGTAAAGTTGTGCATGTAGCTCAATAAAAGGAAAGATATTTAAAATAACAAAAAAAAATTAGGGAATAATGTAATTGTGTGCTGAACAACAGAAAAGATACATGTCTAGTTTGTTGAAACTATGTATAGTAGTTCAATCTGACAATTATCAGGAACTTACATGTCAGATTTTTAAATACAGTGAGTTCAACAAGTCCATGTTCATTTGTTGTACAAAAAACTTAGCTTTGATGCTTGGAAGAAAGCACCTCCAGTAAAAAGATTAAAATTTTGTAAATAACCTGTAATGTCACAATAAAAATATATTTAACAACAGGATTTACTCTCAAGTATTGACCTTGACATCACTCTGGCTTGCCCAATAATTTTCAGTTTTATGCTATAGGTCTCTCCGCTATCATGGAAAAACTCAGTATCAGCAGATTTCAGAATTTTTTGAAGCCAAAAATAATATAATTTTTTGAGATAGATGCAGAGGGCTTCCTGGACCCCACGTACGTCATACTTTAAGACTTATTCACTAAAATAAGTCACATCTCTATTAATTTCTTAAAAAAAAAAAATATGATATAAAACACCATGCACATGTAACATGGATGAAATGTGAATGACCCTGCTGAATGCTTTCTTCAACATCAAATACTCTTTATTTTTAAAGCAGCTGGGAAGCCAAGAGGTCCAAACAAACACCATATTTCTATTGTGTTAAAGAGCACATGCTTTGGGAAGAACATGTGCCTAAAAGGAAGGAAACAAACGAAAGATAACGAGTGAGGTGGCCTCTTGCCTGATCACATGGCAGCACATCGCAAATCAGAACCCCAAGATGGAGCGATTGTTGTGAAAAAAGTTTACTATACATTTGAATATAATGTTCACTGGATAATGATGTTGCTAATTTTTTTCTTACTAATATAAAATCATTTTATGACTGATTAAATTTTCTAAATTGCATAAGAATACTTTCTTATATGCACAACTTGATTGTCATATATATAAATATATAATTATATTTTTAATGTTTTACAAATCCACTGTACTGCTATCATATGATAAATTGGACAAAAAGCTACTGGAAAACATTTTGATATAAGTTTCAATTGAAAAAGACAGACAAAACATTTGTCAAAAAGATTATTTGACATGCAAAACAAAAAACAAATGCCTCTTAAAAGCAGTACTGACAAACAAAGACAGTATATGCAGCTTAAAAATGTATCACATTGACTACAAATGTATAATAATAAGTAAGTATAATGTCTGCTCTGTCAATTGCTGAGATTTAATGAAAATTGCATGCACCATTTGAAATACCTCACAATGCCATGTGAAAAAGAATAATATCGACCTATGAAAAAATAGCATATAGCCTTTTCATATACATAATACTTTTGGCTACACCAAATAATATGCTTTCATGGCTGACTTTGAACAAGTGTGCCTGTTGGAGTTACAGCAAACAAAAAACCACCAAAATGTTCACACATTTTCTGACAGTAGGCTCCCATTCATTTGGGGTTTTGAGTGGATGATGATAATCTTATTCCAAATGACAATGACATTATCTGGTTCAATACACAGTCCTTTGAGTTTGGAAATTCAGTTAAAACTTCCTCTGTGCAAAAGATCAAATTTTGAATTTTAAGATCAAAATCTCCATTGTATTTTCAAATAAATTCAAAAATGACCCTGTGGATAATAATTTTTCCCAGTTTGGGATATACCTTGGTGAAGTATTGAGATTGGTTGACATTTTCCAAAAAATGACATTTTTTTGATAAAGGTCCAATGTAGATTGTGCATCATGACCAAAATTTTTGCTGAATCACAGATTTCTCCTGTGACAGCAACAAAGACAAAGAAATCCAAGTTGATTGAATTAATGGTAATTATCTGGGTGGGGCTTCTCCTGGTATGCTGGGGGAGCAGGAGCTGGCCCTGTGGTCGCCCCTTGGGGGCAGACTGCATAGTAAGCCACTGGATACTGCCCCTGGGGCGCCTGGTAACCCTGGGGGTAGGCCCCTGGGGCGCTGGCTCCAACCCCAACAGGTGCCATGGGGACAAATGCATGTTGACAAACCTGAAATGTAGCATAGCATAATCACAAACTATAATAGAAGTGGTTGCAGCTTCTCTAGTGTACAGTTCTTTTTAAAAGAGTCAATGTTGGGCCAGACAAAGTTTATAAGATGATTCATTACTAGTACTAGCATCTCTACTGCTATTACTGACCATCAGAAATTAATATTTATCTTTTTACAAATCCAGTTGTGTCGCTGGTAATAAATACATCTCCAAAGATGTTAACTACACTAGGCTAGATAAAAAGTCACCATATCAAAGCTCGTCAATAATAACAGGCAGTCACTAATTCTATCACCTGTTCAATTTGGAAATCCTTGAAGCAATGACTGAAGTTGATCACTCACTTACCCTTTGTTCTCTGTTCATGCATTTCAAGTCCATACCAACACAAACCATGGCATAGATCTAGAATTACAACATAGTCTTATAACAATTAAATCTGTACTATACAGGTTTTAAAATGTCTGAAGTCATATTTCTTACGCCTGAATATTCTGAAAGCTTTGTGTAACTTTTCCAATTCAGAGCTTTAAGATAACAGAACTTTTTTCAGTAAAAGTACTAGTACCTGATGTCAGCATTTTTATCAAAATGTACAATGATTTGTAAGTGGGAGAAAATGGCTTTTTCTTGAGGAAAAAATAGATTTGGTGAGATGTATAATGTACAGTTAATTTACAGACAACACAGGAGAGTCTAAGAGAACATTTTATCTTGCTTATTATAATGAACACATAGCTTAAAATGACTATGCAAGGTACCGAGCCAGAAGAAAAGGGCCTAAAGCACACTAGTCTTATAAATACTTACACAAATGCCCAGCACGATTAATTGTACTGCTATTACAGCAATTGTCCATGCTATGCCTGCCGAGGCTGAAATAAAGATTCATATTGACAACATCATATTACACACACATATTCAAATACTCCATTGAGGACCTGAGGGGGGGGGGAGGGGCAAGTCTACAAGCACAGGGTCAAAGAAAAGGGGTTCGGAGCATAGAAATGGGCATACATGAGGCATATTAAAGGAGTTAAGGAGCAGAGATAGGAAAATGAAGGGAGTTTTGGGGCATAATAAGGGGGTAAAGGGGCAACAGAAGGGGGGCACAGGTAGGGAATGGGTATAAAAACTTCTCTTCTCTCTCTCTCTCTCTCACACACACACACACACACATAAACATTCATGAAAACTCGTGAACTTTTCACTTATTATACCATCAGCGTAGTGCTTTATAAAAACATAGCTGACATAATTATGTAACATAATGTATCAACATATCCAATCTCTTAAATTTAACTAGACTAGTTTACTTATGTATAATATAAATTGATATTCCTTTAAAATTTAAGATTATATGCCAGAGAAATCTCCTTGATACTGTTACAACAATAATTCAGGTTTATAATAATATTTTAATTTTTTCACACAAATGTAAAAGAAATCTCCCTAATTGGTACTTACTCAAAACTACAGTCATGTAAAAACATTGGAACAACATTAAGAAACACTGCAAGCCCGTAGCCACAAACCAGGGGATGTAGAATGTTTTCTTTCTCTGAAAAAAATTTGAAATCAGGATCCTCAACCATTTAAGAAGAATATTTATCAATAATCAACTTCAAATATTACTCAAGAAAGATTTAGCCTATTTACAATGTATAATAACCAAGGGGGGTGATCTCACAAGATGGAAGAATGGCGAGTTAAGATTCATAATTCCAGGATTTTATCTTTTTTACAAAAAGTACACTTAAAATAATATGAGTAAGGAGTTAGTACATATCATGGCTTTTTTTGGTCCCAAATATGCACATAAATGAGCAAAAATGCAAATAAAATATAGCACTGGAGCTGAGCTTACTATAGAAACTGCCCTGATTGGTGATGGAGCCTTTTGATGCATACTAAAACAGGCATAGGTAAGCTCAGCAACTGTGCTCAATTTGATGTAAAGGTAAGATTCTTTGCCATTGTTCAAGTTGGATCAACTTAAAAGGTGAAAAACTCGACCTGTATTTTATGAATATTCATCAGTTCCGTAGGTTTGAAGACATTAGGTAAAATCTTTTTCCACTTATTGTTTTACCCCTGAAAGTGCATGGCAACAACAATGACGGCGACCGAAGACAGCTACTGTGACAACAGGTGCAGGTGACGGCTATGTGTACACAAAAATCTGTGTCTGTACATAAAAAAAGAGAGAAAAAAATCTGAAGGTCAATCTCTAAGCTCACCTGTACTGCACCAACTATTGTAAGAACTGAGGACACAATCCAGAACAACCAGAGTATGGATCCTATGATCAACACCACATACTCCATGGTCTGTAGACTCTTATCTCCTATCATTAGAGCTGGTAAGCAAAGGTTATTAACATATTATTAAACATTGTCTATATCTTATGTGTTAACAACATTGTTGCACATTCTGTTACCATTTTTGAACAAATGTTTTTGAAAAATTGTAATCAACACATCAGAGCAAATAATTATATCATGTTTATAATATTATTTAATATTAATAATAAATAAATGTATATTTTAATAATGTGAATTAAGGTAGATGAAATTGCAGAAATCATAATTTTTACAAGCAGATATCTACATTTTCATTATTTTTACTATGAAAACTCAAGAACTTTGATAATGAACATCAATAAGTATAAAAAATGACATTTAATTCTTATAACTCATACATATGTACCTAATTTGGGTTGAGGCATTCTCTCTCTTGTCCCTATGTGTGTGAGTCAATGTACACACGTGCATCTGAGAGGGAGGGATTGAGAGAGGGGGAATGTGGGGGGGGGGGGG